ATCAAGAAACAGTAGTTGTGATAGGTTAGTACTACAGCTGCAAGGTCAGTGCACCTTCTGGTTATACCTGATGGCATCTCAACACTTCTAAGCAAGAGTCATAGGGTCACAATGTCACAATAGATCGGCAAGACCTCATTGGTCTGTTCAGTCTCATAAACGTTTCTCCTGGAAAGAGGGCCTTAATTATCCTTCTCTGTTCTCATTAGGCTAGATTAGGCTATTTAACCTATCTCCAGGTTTGGAGTTAGGAGAAAAAAAAATAATTTCTAAGCAAAGTTCTTTTGAGAAGACTGTCCATCTGGGCACCACAGATCCCTTTCCATATGGCCAGTTTCAAAGATTTTCCTTTTTCCTTCTTAACTAATGGACTGAGACAAAACGGCCATGCTAACAGCAACTGTCCTGCATTTCGTCTACTGTTGCCCTAGCATAAAATATGTAAATTGTATAAGTGGTTTAAAATGTTTTAAAAAACACTTTGACTTGCCACTGTTCAGCTTGCTGCTATCTTTCCTGTTTTGCTTTTGTCCCTGTGGCTGGTTCCAGGTGCTCTGATACTCCCTGCCCCCAACTGCAATCTCTAATCACTACTGCCATTGGCAGCACCTTCCTCTTCCTTCTCTTGCTGTTCCCTTTTACTCATTTAGGTCTCTTGTCACGTTTCTCATTTCTCTCAGCATTCGAGCCAGAAAGCTGGCCTCTTAGTCTAACACTGCCAATCAAACCACCCAACCTTCAAAGAGACAAACTGATTAATCACTGCAATGAGATACAATCTTCAGTTCTTTGACTTGGCTACCTGTTTGTTACTGAGTGTGCAGGGTTTGAGTTTTCTGAAAGCCAAATGTGATCACCTCCCCTCTTGCCACAGTAGGATGTACAATAATTGTGCAGTTTGGTCAAGCAGGCACTGCAGGCGGAAAGAAGTCAGGGAGTTAAGTATGGGCTAGAAAAACAGAGAACTCCTGACTAGGGTAGGATCTTAGATGGAAACCTCTCTCCCCCTACCACCTTCGGCATAGGGGTTGTAAGATAAACTGAGATATCCAGTCTTTTTGGAGTTAGGTGCCTCATTTCAAATGGTAGATACAATGCTTAGTGGGCTCTCAAAGGAGCACTTCTCTTATTCTGTGACTAAGGAGCTTCTGAAGGTCAATGGTAGGATGGGGACCACTTAAAAGTTTTACTGGTGGAATTGAATTCACTTTTTGGCTCCAGTTGACTCACTTTTAATTTAGTCCTTCAACTCTTTTCCAATATAGTATGCTATTGCCCCTGTGGGGTTACTGTGAAGGGGCCAATGTGTACATTGGCGCTTTAAATTTATCCTTTAAATATTAGTTCTTTTCAACAAGTTTTAAAACTAATTAGTTCAAGTTTTAGAATTCATTGGCTTTTAACTATAAAAGAAAATGATAGCTACAGAATAAATTATTTCTCTGCATCTAGACAGAGAGGTTAACTTCTGATAAATGAAGGAGGAAATAATATATGCTTAAAAGTTCATTTAGCTTTTATTATATAACTCTAGTGTTAAAAAAATGAGTACTGAGTATTTAACATTGTGCTGGCTCAAAGAAACTCATTGGCCTTCTCCCTAAGGAATGGGAAATCTTGGTGGATAAAGTTTAAAAATTATAACAATTTAAAAGTAGGCACGTACATATTTTATGAACCTAAATACTAGCTAAATAACTGGGCCTGAATGGTGTGTTACTCAAAATATGAGCTTTGGAGAATCATTGTTAAAGGCATTTGAGTGTAAGAATTTCATCATTCTTATTATTTTCACTTTGAAGACTTGTAATTTGAGAGTTATTCAGAAAACAATGCTGTGTACTGTAAGAATTTAATCCAGTGTATAAACTGTCTTGTTCTAACAACTGGACAGATGGGATTTCATAGGATTAAGTTTGGCTTTCAAAGTAAATTCTGAAAGGAACAAAGGAAATGACCTTCACACTGTAACAAGTCAAAGCTGATGCCATTAGACGTCTTCGTTTATTTAGCTTGTCTAGGAAGTAGTTATGGCACCATTTTATTACTCTGAACAGGACTGAGATTTTCAAGATCTAAAAAATTCTACAATTAATAGCAATTGTTTATTTATGGAAAAGATGAGAGTATATATATCAACCTACAGACTAAGATGAACACAGTTACCTAGACTGTCTTGCTATATCTTAGATCAAAATAACTCAAATTCAGCTATATGTTTGACTAGTGAACAGGGAAACTCATGCTAGGCATTGCTACTCTTATTTAATAAACACAGAAATATTTGAGTCAGTCACTCCATCCTAGTCTTATTGTAACAGCATTTTATCCATTCCCTTCCTCATGCTAATCACAACAATGGCTGATGCAATGATAAACCATGATCATGAAAAACCAGGGTGTAACTTACCTTTTTTCCATAGGATAGTCATTAGCACAATCATTTAATGAGCTTAATAAACTCAAAATGTTCCATGGAAGAGGTATGGAGAGGTTTAATAACAAATGACCAGTCTTTAATCTATCCAGACTTTTCACCATGGAACATTTCTATCACATGTTTTGAGGCCATTTGTTATTTAAAGTCCTAATATTAAACTATAGAACACAAAACTCACCTGTAATTATATTTGCAAAGCTAAAACTACATCTTAGCCATATAGTAGTAGTAATGATTATTAATCTAAAAAATAGCTAAAACTTAGCTTTAAAAAGATGGGAGAGCCAGATGGTGATGCAGTAGCAAAAGGGGATGGTTTGCAAGGCAATCTCCCATGGGAAGGTTCCTGGTTCAAGTCCAAGACCTCTCTCTGCCAGGTATGTGCTTGCATATGATCCAGGGCTGGCTGAGGTTGGATCATGGAATCAGGACCCTGTTTGGGATGTTGTCTCTCTGGTTCATGAAAGAAATAAACAAAAACTTTAAAAAGGGGGAGGAAGGGGACTAACAATGTCCCTCCACAGAGAATGGGTAAACTATGATATATTCAAAATAATACTACGTAGAAATAAGAAACAGGCTGTAAATATGCTCAGCAACATAAATGAATCTCAAAAATTCGAGCAATAGACACAAAAGATGATAAACTGTATGATTTCACATATATGAATATATAGAACAGGCAACACTAATCTTTGGTAATGTGAGTCAGAACAATAGTTATATGGAAAGAAATGAACTGAAAAGAGGCCTGAAGGAATTTTCCGGAGTGATGGAAAAGTTCTCTATCTTTACTGAGATCGTGGATTCCAAATTTCACATTAAAAATGAAAAATATGTGTACAAATATCTAAATTTCAAAAAAATATATAAAGCATTATTTACTAGATCCTAAAGTTAGTTATAAGCTAACCATAGGAGACATCTAATAAATCTTACTATTGTTAAAAACCAATGGACGATTCATAAAGCAGATATGCAGCTTTAATTCACTGTGGGCGTTTCTCTGACCATTCCCTCTATCAGATAAAAACTGCTTCTGTCTTACAAAGATACCTTTTTCCCCCTCTTATATGTAAGAGGGGTGGGGAAGGAAAAGGAGAGAGGCAGTTACAGAAATTTTTTGATAGCAGCTTACTGTGTCATAATTCTGCCCTAGCCTCCTAGTTAGCCAGTGAGAGCACCCAAGTTCAGGTGACCAGGGAACTGAACCCATTCTTCGAGAATGGCTTCCACTCTCCTAAGCAGTGGCACTACCTGTGCGCCAACACAGGTGGGCCACAGATAAAACTTTTCTCTTTTTTTTTTTGGAGAGGTTTTTGCTATAGGGCGCATGCGCTCACCAGACAGAGACAGAGAGACAGAAAGCGAGAAATCACCCTCCAGGGGGGATGGCCACGCCACAATCCCTTCTTCTCCATTCTCCCTTCGGGATCTTGGGCACGCATGCACACGCACCTGGCGTGAGTTTCAAGCCACCGGGTCCTGGACGCGAACCGTGGTCAACTACATGGGAGTCCAGTGACATAGCCATTAACGCTAACTGCTGGTCCCCAGATAAAACTTTTATGAGATATTTTTACTACCAAGTACTGTACACCATAGTAATGTCCCATTTAATTATTTAGGGTATATGATATAGATCATGAACCACTGGTTGAATATAAACACAAAAATGGGATACTTATGTTGGAAAGCCTTAAATAAAATTCAGAAAAAAGCTAAAAATCATGAAAGTTTACAATGTATTATTTTCTTTAATTCTAGACATCACATCATATGATAAAATCACAACCACTTTTAGATGACAGTACATTCAAATTTCTAACACCCAGTTATTTTCATTTCCACAGTGTTAACTCCACACTGCATTTTCATTTCTATACAGAGCAGACCAGCTTTTGGACTGCAACTGCAGACCACGTTTCTGGTGCAATACTAGTAATAATTACTATTTTAATCATGACCACATGAAACCACATTTATATTCCCTGTACAATAGAGAGATGAGGTGTTTTTCAATATATAATTATATGGAACTCTTCAGTGATAGTGTTCAAAAGCAATTCAGATAGCTGAAAATGGGTTTTGCTACCTCAGTCCATATATTTCATAAAAAGATGAAGTGTCTGTCACAACGTGTAGAAATAAATATGTGGCACAGCCATTCTTCCTTCAAAATACTGTCTGGAAAAAAATTCCAAGCTGACTTAAAAAAAAAAAAAAAAACTCAGAAAACATTATTTGATGTTCAGTACTATAATCTTCCTGAATCTATTTTCAATTGGAACAAATCTGCAACTGCTACTACATTGATTTAATAATAATATCCAGAGTCCAGACAGAGTCCTTGAATGTCTAGTTCATATTCTACATGAAAAGACTCCTTAGCACCCAACTAATACAAGAGAAAGCTGATGTTTTGTATTAAGATCTGTATCAACAGCAAAGATAGTATAGCCATTTTTTTTTAAACAGTGATGCTAGAAGTGATGAAAATATATGCACAGCTGAACACGGATGCCATTAAACACAAGAACAAAATGTCATTTGATGCATATCAATTTGAATATATTTATTTTAATTTATTTTGATACAGTATTAGAAGGACTGCATAATTATGGAGACTGCTGCAAACATTTGATGCTACTGTTTATGAAGCATCAGGCATGCACAATAGTTACCTTTTAAAAGTTCTCATGGATATATCTTAACACATTTATCTTATGCTACAATATGTTTAAAGCATTTAGTAATTTTAAAACAAATATTTTATCAATAATTGACCTATGTCTAATGGGGGTAAACAAAAATTTTCTCCTGTCTCATATCCAATAGTAATATTAAACCTTACTCCCCAAATTGCTATTTAGTTTATATGTCACCCTTAAAATTCCAGAAGTAATGAAAATTATTATCACTACTCAAGAAGTACAATTTCCACAGCAGTCTACCCACTGCACACTTACGGCATGCCAACCCTTTAGGGATCACATGGTAAAAGTGACCTGCTAGTGGCTACAGATGACAATAACTAAATATATCAGTATTTTCTTTTTATTCTGGGTCTCTTTATTTGGAACTAAGTAAAGGTTTTCATTAATATAAACTTCAAACAAAATTTTATTTAACCCTAACATAAGAGTAGATAACACTAAAAACCTTTATTTTAAGGGTATGGCAAAATGGAAAATGTTTCAATCACATTAGAAAAATGGGTGAGAAAGAAAGCACAGTTTGTTTTTCCATTAAAGAAGCATTCCACTCAAATACTCATAAAAACTTACAAATTCAGATTGCTTGGTTCTTGGTCATTTATGGCTTAAAAGTACTGGTTCTGAAAGCCACTTCGGGCTAAAAGAAATTTATATAACTAATGTATATTGATTGTATATATAGAAAATCATGCAATAAATAAATGTTTTCATGTACACTGAAATCTTCGTGAAGAAAGGGGTTTGTAAGTGTGAATAGTAATGTTTCTTCCCTTTTACCAAGAAAATATGCCCAGGAAGATCCCTGCCTTTGGCCTATTTAAAATCCTACTTGCCAAGTCATTGTGATTTTCAGTTGGTAAGGGAAGGTAATGTCTCAAGACATCTGCAGTAAGGAACTGACTTGCCTCAAGTGCAGGTGTTGTGAGACCCAAGCTAGGCAGGACCAGACTCTCAGTATCCCACAATCCTGCTTAAAGTCATTTGGAATATTTGACTAGCTGGACTATCAAGTGGGTAAGTGCTTAGAATAAGCACTGGATGTTTTTATTAGTATCTTTCTAAAAAATCTATCTGCCCTTTCAATTTCTTTCTTTTGAGGATTGCTAGGTTGAGATCTACTCACTACTCCTGGTTTTGATATGCCCCCACGACGTGAGAGTTGAACTGAACTACAATGATTGTAATGTCATCTCTGTACATACGAGCAAGCTCTTCAGGAAGACTGAGCATTTTGGAGAGGCGTTCGTGATCAACAGCCCCAAACTCATTGTTGCCCACTGCATGGCGAATGAGATGGGTTGCTGCATTCTGATCCTCAAACACTGAGGACATCTTGGCTCTCCTTTCTGTTAAGAGACCATGCATCTGTCCCAGAGTCACCTTGTAGCCACCAACAGCTATGGGCTGTTGGTGATGCATGCCAGTTAGGTACTCACCCACAATCCTAACCACATCCTGCCTGTGCATAGTCTCCCACAACCCATCAGTAGCCAACACCAGAAACTTATCCTGTGGCCTTAATCGGTGGTAAGTTACCTCTGGCTCAGCAGTTAGGTAAGGAGGTGTGTGATAATTAGGAGGGATAAACTTGGTATATTCATTGTCATTCAACTGGTCTGGGCCAGATTCTATCACTCTCTTTTGAAGGTCAATGCTCCATTTGAACTTTACATCTCCAAAGGCCCTAAAAGGCATCAGCAAACCAAGCAGCCGATCCTGTTTCACCACACTCTTGGCCTCATTCTTTGGGTGTTCCAACTTTAGCCGTTCTAGTTCTCTTTCATTCTGAGCATTGTGGTCATTAGACAGTGTAACTGCTGACCAAGAGCCATCTTCTTCCTGCACACCAAGCATGGCTCTGCTATCGCCGGTATTGGCCACATGAAGGTCAACACCATCCACATGGGCCACACAAGCAGTGGCACCTGAAAATGCCACACGAAGCACCAGGTAGTTGAGGAAAGAATTAGGATCACCAACTTGAGCCTCTAAGGAGATGTCATTATCAAGCCTCTTGAAAGCATTAATTAAGGCCTCCTTAACGTCAATATCACTTGACTCGCCAGTATTGAGGTCTATAAGCTCTTGCCAGTAAGTCCTCAAGCTATTGAAGTACAGTTTAGATGCTTCCTTACTGAAGTAATCATTGGGATGCTTGTGCCACTGGAGGATGGGGAGCAGAGCCCGGCCACTTTCCACTGCATTTTCAATCTCTAGCAAAGTCTCATGGGGTAACAAAGAGACAGCAATATAATAAAACAGTCTTTCACTGACTGCCTGGGAGCAAGCACAGCCAGCATGGCCATCAAAAACCCCCAAAAGCATCCCTCTGGTCTGCAAGCAGGTTGCTGCACTTCTCCGGTCTTCGATGGGTGCATTTGCAGGCAGCTGATTGCTGTCAAATCCAAGGATAGAACTGACATTTTTACCATCAAATTCTGGCACTTTGAAACTGTATTCATTAGCTTTAAGGATGCTGTTGACCTGTGGAGGAGTGAGGTAAAACTTCTGTGGCGTGGAAGCGTATCTCCTTCCTTGGGTATACTGCCACCAGTTCTCCTTTGGCCTACAAAAGGTGGCATACGCTGGATGAGGCGTGTATCTCAAGCGACTCTGAGGAATGTAGGGTGATGAACAACAGAGATGTTTGTGGTGGCAGTAACATGCAGTGCCATAGATTCTGCTCAGTTCACAGTTACGGATGAGAGGAAAAAACAGTTGAGTTGGTCCTGGCATGGCATCAGAAAACAGCGGTAGGCTGGAACTTCTGACTGGGATTCCTAGATAGCAAATTAGACAGATGTACACAAAGAAAAGGGTTATATTTCAGATTACTTAATCTAGCTTTCTGTTTATATTTATATTTAGCAAGTGAATCTACATGCTACGGCACGTGCTTGGTGGTGCTTATTTATACACATATCATGGACTATTTCTACAGGGGTATCCTGGTAAGTACAACTATCAATTATTCATGGAGTCAAAACTAAAATGCAATTCAGCCTCATTTTTCTCTTTTCTTCAAATTTCTTTGTGCAGTACAAACCGTACAGAATATACAATAGATTTAGCTGAAGAAAGCTGAGGAGATGAAGGTTATATAACACTATGCAGCAGCATTCTACCTGGCCAATCGCCCTTCTCTTTCTCTATCCTTAAAAAAGGCCTTGAAACTCTCATTTTTCAGAAGAATGTCTCCATTTATCAAGATCTTGTTTCTAGAACTGTGGCCAGTTGTTGGCATTTGATTACACATAGGTATCATCACAAAAGTGTGAAGATGCATCCTCAACATATATATACTTATATATGCAACACATATACTACTGTATAATTTTCACTATAATATATACAAAAAAAATTCTACATAATGAAATAAAATAGAAATTCCAATTTTTTTTTTAATGCACCCCAGTGAATGGTCTTGCAAATCCTATTTCTCTAGATCATGTCACCAATTTGGCAATCTAAGAGGCACAGTTCTGCCACCAACTCGCCAAATAGTTCTGGAAAAGTCAGCTCACCTCTTTGGATTTCACTCTCCTAAAATGTAAGTAAACAAATTGAAGCAGATGCTATTTTATATATATATCTTTTTCTAGGATTCATTCTTTTACGCTTGTTGACATGAGGTGTTTAAATCAAATACTGGTTTTACTTATTCATCGCTGAATTTTTCTGCGTTGTTCATGATAAAAAGGTTTAAGGATTCTAATACCTCTAAAACTTTGTTAGTAATATAAACAGTCCCCTGCTTAACAGTCACAAGAGAAAGCTACAGAAACATCATTCTCATCTATGGAATCCAAATGGAATTCACTTCAGGAAAAATGTTTTTTCTTATATTAGACAAAAGACCAAAAAAAAGGGAAAACAATAAAGAAACAGCAGTCCAAGATTTGGATTACAAACATATGGTATTATAAATATTAATTTTTAAAAATCATATCATACTAAAAATAATTATCAGGGTATTTACTGGGTTGTCAGAAAAGTCATGCATTTTTGCACAGAAAAACATAGAAAAATAACATTATGACTTAGCCGACAACTCAATATGTGGAGTTTAATAAACATATATCCCATGCTTAATCTCTGTCTTGAGTCTTGAGTTTTCTAAGGTCCACTGACCTCTTCTTTTCATCTGACCTCCACCTCTTCCCTCAAATTCACTTCAGCCAAATGTGGCTCTAAAATAAAGATATTGCCTTTCTACAAATATATACAAATCTACAGAATGCTTCTTCCCACACTGAAGTTGCAAGTATACTGTTTTAGTGCTTTAACATCTACTGGGTTGTCAGAAAAGTCATGCATTTTTGCACAGAAAAACATAGAAAAATAACATTATGACTTAGCCGACAACTCAATATGTGGAGTTTAATAAACATATATCATTATCCCAGGTAATTTATGCAAGAAAAAAATCATTTTTCCTCAATAACATATATTTTCCCTGAATTCTTGATATACTGCTTCAAAGTATTCACTTAGACTGTTTAAGAAACAGACTTTAGAAATACTTTAGATAAATAAATTCAGTAAACAAAAAGGAATAAGGAAATATAAAACCATTTGAGTTTTAGTATCAATAACTCCTTTCCAAGGTTTAATCCATTAAGAAAAAATTTTACAAATGCCATAGAGTGTTAGCTATATATTAAATTATTTTCAAGTATCTTTTTTTGAAGAGTAATCTGAGAAAGGTAATAATTGGAAGGAAGTGCACAGAAAACACTGAAAAATCAATTCTTATTTGGGTCTGTAATAAGCACAGCATAAGCCAGCCTTACAGAACCTCTTTTACAAGTGGCAGAAATATCATCATTTTAACTACAGTATCTAGGAAGGGACTTGTTTACAAAAACGAAGACAAAATCAGGCACTAGAAAATGATGGCTAGAATTTTGGAAATAAGAATGCATAACTAAATAAACATCCTGAAGGGCAATAATGAAAAAGTGAAATTCCAGAAGAACAGGAACCTATCGGGACTAATCACATAAGTAACAGCACTTCAAACTAAATACCTGAAAGTCATCCAAAGGTTAAGTATACATGACTGAGCCAGGAAATGTGTTCCCATGTTGGGCCATAGGACACTGGCTTTCAGATATCAACCATTTACCTTTTTTAAGTTTGCACGCAAGAAAGCACACCAACTTTACACTTTGAATAAAGACTTTCTATTATTAAAAATGTCAACAGACACAATCTTCATAAAAATGTAATTTTTTCCCTAACTTTATGTCTGCATTTGTCCTTCTTTAGCACGTAAGACTTTCAAGGTAGGGGGAGTGTCTACATGGAATGTAGATGAACTCAAAGAACCATTTAGAATGTGTAGGAGGGAAGGTTGATAGATGCATAACTGGGTTTGATTATATGATGCTGAATCAAGGAAAACAAACCCAGGAAATCTCCACTTTCCTTAAATTCCTTTGTTTGGACAGTATTTCTGCATTTGTAGTCGACTGCAAAATGAATGAAATCTTGGAGTAAAAAGCTAATGACTCATGCAGCAAGTGCTCAAAATAAGATTTAAATTCAAACATCAAGCAAACATTCAGCTACACCTTCTTTTAAGGCAAAAGTCCTCAAGATTAAAAACAACAAAGCAGAGAGTGAATTCTATCGCCCATATCAGTTATTCAGAATGTTAGCATATAGATTGAGATGGTATCTCAATCCCAGAACTCCCAATATGACTTCAAAAGACAAAATTCTTAAGGAAGCTGGAATTCATAAAAACCTTGCTGTGATTACTGTGATTAAAAAGCATTCTATCATCTTCGATTACTGTGATTAATAAGCATTCTACCATCTTCAGTGATATATTCTCTCCAACAGACCAGATACCCTTAGAAGTAAAAAGTGCTTCCAAATGTCTCATAAACAATAAGTGAACATTGGAAAAAACTTATATTTTCTAAATATCCTATGATTCAACAACCAAAACATTCTCTATGAAATAAAAACTTCTGACTAACTCGCTAAATTAAAGGAGTACAAGGCTTGACTGGACAAGGAAAACAGCAACAAGGTACAGTTGCTGATAAACTGGAGCAGTGCCAAATTTTCAAGTTATTCCTAACCACAATTTCACCAAAAAGTTCCTACCCCATGATCCGGTCTCAGCCACATTATATGCAGCATCTCAGTCCGAAGCAGATTTGGCTGATTTCACCAATGACTAATAAGGAAAGATGCGCTGCAACCAGAAACAGGAAAGAGAATCATCCATTCTTACTGATGTGTTGGGCAGAGCCGGTGCCAAGGAATGATTCCACTTCATCAATAAACCCATGGACCAAATTAATTAGAAAATCCTATTACTGCACCTACTCCGGAGCTCTTTAGCTTTGCAAAGCTTTTGAAGTACATAAAAAAATGCCCTACTAGTCATGAAATGTGTCTGAAGCCCAGTTTATGTAATCCAATTCCATGAAACACCCTGCATAAAGACTGCTATTTTTCTGGAAATATTTAGCCATTTCACAGCTCTGCTATCTCTGTATGAATGAAGAAATCAATTTTCTTCAAAAGGTACAAAGCACCAACCCTGCACTTGTTTGATTAGTTTCCTTTGTCTCTGCCTGAAAATTGCACCCACTGAGACAGTAAAGCTACCCTGTCCTGGACACCTTTGTCTGTTTTCCCTATCTATTCCACGCCGACCCACCTAAAACCATCCATACACAAAATCGGCCAATATCCTTCCTGAGTACCCAACGCAGGTACTTAAGTGAATACCTACCAATTCGTCTGGGCCCAGGACACACACACATTCTCCTGTCATCACAACACGGAGCCGACAACATCCACAACCCGCGCGGGCAGCAGCAGCGACAGCAGCACCGGCCCATTGAAAGCAAGGCAGAGATGCTCATTAGAGGAGGCAGCGGCCGGGAGGCGGGTGCGGAGGAGGGGCGAGGTCTAGCTCTAGCTCGGTGAATGGGCTGGGAGGAGGGAAGAGGATGGAGAAGGGAGAAAGGGGTGGGGAGAAGGAAACCAAACAAACCCACCCAGCCGGAGAGGAAGAGTTACAGCCCCAGGCGGCGGCAGACCAAACGCGAGCAGAGGCGCGCCCCGGAGCCCGCCCCTCCATCCAGCTGGGCGCAGAGCCCGTAAGAGCGCGGCATCCTCCGCCCGCTACCCGCCCCGCCCCACGCGGCGCCGGCTCCAGGGTAGAGAACCCGGGTGGGTACAGGGGGAGTCTAGGGCACAGACCCGCAGCAGCAGCTTCCAAGAGCGCACCCTCCCGCGGGTCCCCAAAGGCGCCCCCCACCCTGACAGCAGGCGCGCAGGGCCTTGCGGACCCCAAAGGCAGCGTGCGGGCCCCGCCTCCCACCCCCAGCCCGCGGCGGCCCCCAGCGTCTCCACGACGGTCCAGCAGCCCCAACGCACACCCGCACACCTGGC